GCTGGTCAGCACATCAGGCCCTGCTCACCTTTGGGTTGTGCAGGATAATAACTTCTCTGCTGGGGGACTCCAGCTTCTTCTTCCACTCATCCAGGGTCACAGCAATCATGTAAGCTTCCTACAGAAGAGAACACCCTCTGTGAGTCAGCTGGCAATACTCCCATGAATGTTCAACCTCTTGAGACATTCCCCACCCAGTTTTTGGGATATCTTATCAACACTTTGCGAAAGCGGCAGAGAAATCAGCTGGAGGAGCAGCAGGGTCATCCCAGGATCACCTGCTGAGGGTGTCCAAGAACCTCCCCCCTTTGACAGCAGCAGCGTCAGACTTCCCCATCAACTTGAAACTGTATTTTTGGCACGTCAGAATAGAGATTATTGCAATGCTGTGTGTTTTTACGCATACATCTCTATCCCTACACATGCATCTTCCCAAAGCAGAGCCTGATGCTGAGGGTGTCGCAGGAGGATGAGCCGCAGCCGGACGAGGGCAGGGGACGGGGAGGCCACAGCAGTGCTCACAGTTCCATTAATCAGCTGCAGGAAGGCCGTGCCAAAGCCTCTTTGGAGTTCGTGTCCTCAGGCCTGACTATGGCGCCAGTGGCCCCATATGGGGTTTGGGACATCAGGGCCGGTGTGTGACAAGGAGAGGCCAAGATGGAAACCAACAGGAAAGGTGTGTTTACCTCCAGTTCCTCGCTGAAGGACTCCGAGTAGGGAATATACTTATTGTCCTTGTCTCCCTTGTAAAACCAGGTGCAGCGACGCACTTCGGACACCTCCTCCTGCCAGTACACGGCCACGCGCTGCCGCTGCTTCAGGTGCACGTCGTACCTGCCCCCCGACGTCGGGACAACCACGTCTTCCTGGTCCTTCCCTGCGGAACCAAGGCCTGGAATTAACCACGAGAGGCCCGGAGCAGGGCGCTCCCAGGAGGCTGTAACGTGCCAGACGGACGAGGCCGGAGCACAGCAGGTCTGAGCCACGGCAGCAGGCACCAGCACTGCCCACAGCCAAGCCCCGAGAGCAGCATCGGGGCATCCTGGGAGAGATGCCCCAAGCAAAACGTCCCCTGGAGGCAGAAGGTAAGATGAAGGCATTAACTGTCCTTGTCTCTGGTTTGGGCTCAGGCTTACAGGGCCTCTTCCTGCCTTGCTTAGAGTACAAGTGAATTTGTGGCCTGGAAAGTGCATTGTGTAATGGTGGGGGTGCACCTGGGTCTCTAAATCATTCCCCTCCCGGAGAACTCCACACTGATCCCAATAGGGACCTCAAATCCTGTGAACTTCCCTGCCTTTTGGCTCTGCCCCTGGGCTGGGCTGGTGGCACAGTGCCCCATGCCAGGCTGGGCTGTGGCACTGGGGGCGGGCAGCACGACCTCTAATCCAAAACTTCCTGGGCGAGGGAGGACGGGAGCCAAACCTTGGGCAATCGGAGCTTTGCCCGCGGCAGCAGCGAGTGGCACAGATGGTGACATCTGGCACACGGGGGCCTCAGTGCAGGGCTCAGAGCTGACCCCCGGAGCAGGCACAGCTCCACGCTTCCCCACGAGGGGAATCCCCCAGCAGAATTCCTGCCATCCTCCTAGCACTCTCCCAGCCTCACCAGAGGATGCTTTGCGCTGTGATTATGTATTATTTAGAGCAGTAGCAATTGAACACAGTCAGACCATTTGATGCATCCAAACAGCTCGGTTATTGGGAGCCAGGCACGTGGCCAAAAAAAAGTTCCAATTTAAATTTCCCCGAAGGAAAACCTGGCATCCCAGGTGGAAGCCATGGATGTGTCCAGGGAATTTTTCCCTGGTACCCAGTGTTTACCCGGAGCACACACCTGATGCTCCCCCATTGACCTCACCAGGCCTGTTCTTTACACCGATTTAAGAGCAGGGACCTGAGATGTAAAACCAAAGGGCGACTGACAGATAGTGGTGGTGGGAGCTGGAGGCTGGGGGTGCCGTGGGACCCCCACCCTTGGGGGGTGGATGGATGGTGGGAGCTGGAGGCCGGGGGTGCCGTGGGACCCCCACCCGAGGGGTGGGTGTACGGCGGGAGCTGGACACTGGGGACGCCGTGGGACCCCCACCCGCGGCGGGTGGGCTCTGCCCGCGCTCCCCGCCCCAGCCCAGCCCGGCCCACCCCCCTTACCTGCGCCGTGCGCCTCCTCCAGCCGCTCCGAGTCCTGCGCGCTGAAGGGGACCCACCGCTCCCGCGAGTCCGTGACCTTGCAGTAGAACCAGTGCGGAACCACCGCCTCGTACCGCCCGCCGGGCTCGGGCTCCGGGGGCTCGGCCGGGGGCGGCCGGGGCGGCTCCTGCGCCGACATCGGAGCTGCTGCGCGGGGAGCGCCGGTCCCGCCGCCCCCCGGGGGCTCCGCGGATCGCGGACCCGGCCCCGCCGCCCGGCCCCGACCGGCTCCGGCCCCGCTGCCCCGGCGGCTGCTGCGGTGGCGCGGCCCGGCCCGGGCGGCAGCGCAGCCTCGGCTCCGGCCCCGGCGACCGCCCAGCCCGGGGCGGTGCTGCCCGCGGCCCCCCCCGCTGCCGTCACCGCCGGGGCGGAGCGGGGACTGCCCGCAATCCCTTCCCGCAATCGCTGCCTGCAATCTCTGCCTGCGGCTCTTGCCCATGGTCCCTGCCCGTGACCCTTGCCCGTGTTCCTTGCCCGTGTTCTCTGCCGGTGTTCCTTGCCGGTGTTCCTTGCCGGTGTTCCCTGCCCCGTTCCCTGCCCCGTTCCCTGCCTGCAGACACCACCGCTGGCAGTGACCCCGGCGGGTCCGCGCCCAAGCGCCGTCGCGGGCGGTGCCAGCGCTGGCCGGGACTGTCCGGCCTCAGCCCTTATCCCGGGCGGGTCACTCCAGCCCCGAGCCGGGTGCGGGGCCGGGGGTGCGCGGTGCTGGCTCAGCATCACCGGGAAGCCCCTGCCTTCGTGCCAACTGCCTCCCACGTGCGGCAGGGACAAACACTCGAGCATGGGGTGATCTGCAGCAGAAACCACGAGGCGCTGATTTAATGTTTGTTTTTCAGTCCCTCTGTGACCCTTTGGCCTCGGTGGCGATTGAGAAACCCTCTGCTGAGGGCAGGCGCTGCTGGAGAAGCAACGGGGGCAACCCCAGAGTAAGTTTGGTTTCTGTAGAGATGGGCCCTATGATAAACAGAGACAGACTTTCTAATTTGGGTTTTGAGATGTGGGTGGATGCTGCAAGATAAACCAGTTGCCAGGAACTCCCATCCCAGGGCTCACTTCCACCACGGCAGAGACTGGCGAGGAAAACTGAAGGGCCAGGAGTGCTAAAATCCCCAGCTCTGCAGATGGAGAGCAAACGGCTGCAAACCTTGTCCGTGCAGGGCCCACACCAGTCAGTGCTGACACAGCTCCTGCCCTGGCTGCTGGGCAGAGACTGACTCTGTTGGGATCATCTGCCCAAGCCGTGACCCACTTTGGTCCCGTGTGAAGGAGGTGGAGGCAGCGGGGACGGATGTGGTTACAGCAGCTGGAGTTTCGTGCAGGCTGAGTGCAGGAGGTGTGCCCTGATCCCTTTCCTCAGCTCAGCTCAGGTGTGGGGTAACACAGAACGCACCCAGGGACGCCCGAAGGTCACACGTAGCCAGGCCATCCCACAGAGCTGTTCAAATTCCCTGCAATGATAACCTGCTCTTCCAGCCCACTTAATGCTCCCTCCTGTGCTTTTCACTAGGGATTTACATAACCCTCTGCCAAGGAGGCAGGAACAGGAAATATCGTTCAGGAGTACGTTACCTGGATGGGTTCAGCACCAAAACAGCTTCCTCCTTCCTCACAGGTTTTCCCTGGTTTGGATGCCATGCACGTACCTGCAGTTCTTCTCACCCTGTTCTTAGCAGGTCACCACAGCACAGGGACCTTTGTCCTGTCCCCAGAGTGCTGGGGACACACCAGCCACCTGCACAGCATGTCCCTCTCTCCCAGCTCCCTGCATTGCAGTGCTGAGCGTGAGGCACCAGGATTACTCCACACTCCTCCTCACACAGCTGGGATCTACCTGCCTCCTCTCCCTGGCAACAGAGAGGAGGGAAATGGGGATTGAAGCAGACAGGAGGTAATAAACAATGCAGAGTTGTTCCTGATGGGATTCGTGCTACTGAAAGAAACACAGAAAACGGTTTCAGCCAGCTCCAGGGATTTTAGGCTGACAGCTGCTGGCTGCCCAGGACATGGGGGAATGGTTTCAAACTCAGAGAGAGCAGGTTTAGATTGAATATTATGAAAAATTTTTTCCCTGTCAGAGTGGTGAGGCCCTGGCACAGGCTGCCCAGGGAAGCTGTGGCTGCCCCATCCCTGGGAGTGTCCAAGGCCAGGTTGGACAGGGCTCAGAGACATCCTGCTCTAGTGGAAGCTGTCCCTGCCCATAGCAGAGAGGTTGCAACTAGATGAGCTTTGAAGTCCTTTCCAACCCAAACCATCCCACGATTCTGTGATTAACACAGCCACAGGCAGATAACAGGCTGCAAGCATGGAATAGCTCAGCCTGGCTGCTCCCTCCTGACAGGACAAGATGAAACAGCAGCTGAGTCTTTCCCTGTCCCAGCTCCCTCCCAGCTCACCCCAGACACGGCTGGGTGTGCAGGCTGACCACGTGTGATCACAGACACATCCAACGAGCTCCAGAGGTCAGTCCCATGCCCGCAGCTCCATCTGGAAATGTGGGATCTGCTGGGTGCCTCCAGGACATCGGTTGGCTGTCAGCCCCTCAGAGTGCATGGTCAGGGCACTCCCAGCCTCAGGCGTGCCAAAACCCCTTCCAAAACTTGGCCACAGCTCCTGGAGCCACAGCTGGAGGCTCCTGGAGCATCTGCACTGCCTGGGAGGTGATGGGACACACTGACACCCCCAGCCCAGTGTTCTCAGATGTTCCACTCACCCCTGACCTGGGCACCCAGACAGCCCGGCTGGAGTTTTGGTCTGAGTTACACAACCTTCCCCACCACTTCTCTTTAAAGAAAAAGAGACTTTGAGACGTCTCAATTACAAAATAACATTTAAAACTTGTCAGGGTTTATTAAGTGTCACACACAGCAATGAGTCACTGAGCACGTTGTAACCAGGAGGCTGAAACAGGCTGAGCTGTTCCCTCCCCGCTGTGCAGTGGGACACAAAACTCACAGGATGAGAGGGACATTAAACGGGATTTTTACCCAAGTGACCTGGAAATCAATTCCAAACCCCCTGCATCTGTTCTGACATCATTCCTCCGCTTGCACCTCTCCTTTCCAGTGGCAGAACTGGGATTTCCAGTCTGTGTTCCTAAGTCCACAGGGACACCCCAGACTGGCTTCTCACCTCAGAGGAGGAACAGCCCGACGTGATGTGCCAGCACAGTGCCCCCCTCCAGCACTTCGGTGTCACTCCTTGAGTGCACTAAAGCCAAACAACCCCCACGAGGACACACGGGCTTTATGGTGAGGGAGCTGAAGCTGAAAACACAGGCAGTGAGGACAAGCCCTGAGTCTTGGTTGGTGGCTGCACGTTGCAGCACATCTGGCAAGTGTTTAAAGACTGTAGCTGCAGGAGGCACCCAGAGATTGGGCCTGGTCTGGGGAATTCTGTACACAGCCCCACAGGGCTCCATCCTCAGCCCAGTCCTCTTCAACATCTTCATTAATGACGTTTGCTTCTTCAAACCTCTCTCAATTTGTCCTTTGCCAAGTTGTCTGTCAGGGCTGGGCTTCTGGGGTGGCTTTTTCGTGGGTTTGTTTTGATTGTTAACTCAGGGCTTATTGCTATTTTCCATTGTCAGTAGTGCGTAGCAGAAAGAGCTGAGATTTAAGAGAACTGAAACTCTTTGGAACCTCAACAACAGGCCGTGTGTTGTGGCTGATGTGCTTTCACAATCCCTTTCTTTCCAGTTTTTCCAGTATGGCCTGAATTCTGTGGACGGACTCTTTCCTGGCCTGCCGGACACTGTCCTGGCCCCCAGTCTCGATGGAATCCAGCTCCAGCAGCAGCTTGGTCAACATCTCCTCCAGGAGCCGGTAAGATTTATCTGTCTTTTTCCCTACAAACTCATCCACCTCTTCCTCCAGCTGCTCAGCCTGCCCCATGACGTGGAGGATCCTCTGGATCTCGGGCTGGATGGCTGTGGGATTTGCAGGAGGGGGGTCGGCAGGTTTGGCTCCGGGCTCCCGGCTGGCGGGCCGGCGCGGGGCGAGGTCGTACAGCTGGGGCTGGGCACTGTACTGCACCCGGGGCTGGGCCGGCCTGGGCTCCCCCACCGGCCCCGAGGGCTGCTGGTTCACCTCGGAGTAGTAGCTGTGCTGGCTCGGGCTCTGCTCGGGTCTGTCGTAGGCAGAGTCCTGCGGTCGGAGGGAGAAAACACCCGTAAGAGCATCTCCCTTAAACCCGGGGGGTCTCCACTCTCAGCCTGCACCACGTGTGGGCAGGGCTGGGGAAACTGGGCACAGGGATCTGCACTGCTGGAGCAGAACCCCAGCAAGGGGCACGTGTCTGCAGGAGCAGAGTGAGCCCCTGAACCCTCGTTACCCAGGGACAGGGGAGATGCTGAACAGATTTCAGCACGGTCCTGTTTGGGTAGACCAGAAGATCCTTCTCCACAGGCAACACACTCTGGAGCTGTTCCCAAGGAACAGCAGCCCCTATCCCCAAATCTCCCTCTCAGGGCTGCTGCACTTTGGGGATCAAACCTCTGGAGAGTCACTTGGCTCCTGATCGAACCCAGACCAAGCCAAATGAACAGACATTTTCCTTCTGATTTTTACTTAAACCCCTCCTCAGCAGGGGATGGCTGTGCCCAAAACAAGCACCTGTAGCTGAACACCTGTCCCACAGGTCAGTCCCATGCTCCCTGCTGGACAATTTCTGATTTTGCTGCTCTCAGACAAGCCAGGCGAGGTCTGACCCATTTCCAGACCCACCCCAGGATGTCTGGTACCTCCAGTAGTTTACAGAACCACAACTGTGGATTTTGGTCTCCTGTCTGCCAAGAGGTCCCTGTACCTGTGAGTCCCAGGCGGGAGGGTGGGAAGGAGCCCCACTGTTGGTCCAGGACGGGTGTGAGTCGGACACGTACAGGTTCCCGTGCCCCGGGGCCGTGGGCCAGGCGTAACGTGGCTGCACCCCATACACTGAGGGGGGGCCCCATGTGTCCTCTGGGGCTCTGGGCTGTGGCACAGGCCCCTGTGCCGTGACCCCTGCACTGCTGTCTCCATACGGATACTGCGGGATCGGCATTCCCGGGGTCTGCAAGGAGAGGGGGAACAGGTGTTACCACCGGGGTCACTCCCAGCACTGCTCCCTCCACACAGCCCTGGGAGCTGAAGGGTGGAGCTCTGTTCCCAGGGAACAAGAGACAGGACAAGAGGAAACGGCCTCAAGCTGTTCCAGGGGCGGTTCAGGTTGGACATCCCCCACCACAGCCCCCAAAAAACATCCCACGAACTGCGCACGCCAACCCCGGGGCTGGAGACTGTCCCTTACCTGTGGTGGGGAGTAGCCAGGGACCTGCTGCCTCCGGAGCGCGGAGCCCTCGGCGGGACACTCCGGGGACACGTAGCTCCAGGCGGGAGCGGGCGATGGAGGCCGGTACAGGCCCGTGGGCTCCGGGGGGTAGGGGGCACGGGGGGGCCCCGAGCAGTAGAACCCCCGTGCCTGGGGCAGGCTGGGGTAGTGCGGGTACGGGGGGCTGTAGGCTCCGTTGGCATAGGGAGAATCCATGGCCTGGAGAGCAGAGGAAAGGTGAGTGGGCATGGACATGGGCAGAGGGGCTCTGGGAACAGGGACTGGCCCTTCCTGCAGTGTTTAACCAGGGGGTTCCTTCAGCCCCGGGCTGATCTCACCCAGTTTTAGGTTCTCCTGGTCTAACCTGGCCGTGCCAGATCTAACACTGAGCTTAACCATGTCAGCTCAGGGTGCAGCCCCTCACAGGGAGCAGCTCCTGGGAGCATGACCCCGGCACTGCATCACTGACCAGAGGGTGGAAAACACTCCAGGAAAGTCCATTTCCCTGCTCATTCTCACACAGACAGGATGCAAACAGAGGAGCTGTAGCAGCCCCAGGCCTGAGGAGCAGGAGTGCAGCTCCCTGAGCCCACAGCTCATGTGGGTCTGAGAACCTGTGTATGGAAGGTCTGCACGCCCAGGATGTGTTGGGATTTACCTGGATCCATCCCAGTAATGTGTCTATGGAACGTGAACTTCCACTCAACCACAGAGAGGACGACTAAGCACAGGATTTCAGGAGCTCAGGGATGACTCCCTGTAGCTTTGGGCAAAGCAGCGTTTTGCCCCCGAGCTGCTTCAGGCAGCAGAGACTGCACAACCTGTGTGCCGGGATTTATGGAAGAGCCGGACCAGACCTGCACGTCCCACAGGATAAACCAAACCACAGCCGTGTCTGGAGAGCTCACCCCGCTCTGGGAGGGCAAAGCCTTTCCCTTCGCACAGAATTTGCACAGCGGCCCCAAAAAAGCTCTCGCTGCGATAATCCCAGTAAGGGATCCGGGAATGCCCATCCAGGGGCTCGGACCCGGGAATGCCCAGCCGTGGGATCGGGGGTCTCCCGCTCGCCGAACCGGCCCGGGATGGCGGCATCACCGGGACCGCTGCGCTAAAACACGTGCCCCAGAAACCTCCCCGTGAGTCGGGTCCGCCGGCAGCGCTTCCCCGCGCCCGGGATGGGGCATCTGCGCCCCGTTACGCGCCCGGGGGGCGGAGACCCGCGAACGGAGCCCCGGGAACCCCAAACCGGCGGGGCGCGGGGGCGCCGGGCAGGGGCCGGGGCCGGGGTCGCTGCCGCCCGTCCCGCGGGGCTGTGCCTTGCCCTGCCCGCCCCGTCCCCGTTACCTGCGCGGCCTCCGGCGGGCGGGGGGACCCGGGCGGGCCCGGCGCGGCCGCGCGCCCGCGCCGCTCCATGGCCGCCGCCAATGGCCGCGCCCCGCGCGCGCCCCGCGCCCAATCGGCGCCCGCGCCCCGCCGCCGCCGCCCAATCGGCGCCCGCCCCGCGCGCACGGCTTAAAAGGGGCCGCGCCCCGCGGGGCCCCGCCCGGTTCCGGGGCGGTGGCGGCGGCACCGGCGCATGGCGGCGCTTCCGCTGCGGCGGCGGCACCACCATGAACTACATGCCCGGCACGGCCAGTCTGATCCAGGACATCGACAGTGAGTGCCCCGACCCCTCTCCCCGCGGGGAGACGCCCCCTGTGGGCTCCGGTCCCCCCGTGGGCTCCGGTCCCCCCGTGGGCTCCGGTCCCCTCGCGCTGTCTCGGGGCCGGGACCGACGCCCCGCTCTCGTTTCCCCCGCAGAGAAGCACCTGGTGCTGCTGCGGGACGGGCGGACGCTCATCGGGTACCTGCGCAGCATCGACCAGTTCGGTACGGCCGGGCCGGGGGCTGCGGGGGGCTGCGGGCACCCCCTGGGGCCGGTCCCGGGCAGGGAGGAGGAGGAGGAGGAGGAAGAGGGGTCCGCGGTGCGTTTTTAGAGCGTGTTCGTGCTGCGGGTCAAACACCCGCCTGTGTGTCGCTTGGTGCTTCTCCCAGAACCGGGAGCTCCCCCCCGTGATTGTGTCCAGCGCTGATGCTCTGGCATCGCTGTTTGGGCAGAAATAGCCCGGGTGATGTTCGCGCTCCGGCCCATCGCTCGCTCCTTGCCAAGAACCTGCAGCACCAACAACGCCCGCCGTCTTCTCCGCTGCCGAAGGCACGAGGGTCTCAGGTGGGCTCAGCCCGGGGGTCTGAGCTCTCTCCCCGCCCTGCCCGCACGGCTGTGGGAGCTGAGGGCGGGAGCTGCCGAGGTGGTGAGAGCTGGGGAGACGGTCGGTGCCTTCGGGGGCGCGGCTCAGAGCACCCACCGAGTGGTGGGAGAGCACCATCACCGCCCGGGGGGCTCTGCCTGGTGGGACGGGACGCTCGGTGCAGCCGGAAATCACAGCGAAATGTGGATGGTTTTCTGTCTCTCTCGTCGCTGTAGCAAACTTGGTGTTGCACCAGACTGTGGAGCGCATCCACGTGGGCAAGAAGTATGGGGACATCCCTCGGGGCATCTTTGTCGTGAGGGGCGAGAACGTGGTTCTGCTGGGGGAAATTGTAAGTGAACAGCTCGTGCAGCAGCCTGGGACTGAGCTGGGGGCATTTGTGGTCTGTCTGTCTGCTGAGAAATACAGTCACTGTCCTACTGGGGGGCTGGAATTTAAGCCCCCTCCCAGGGCCAGTTCAGGCTGAACCATCACAGAAATGCTCCCAGGGTGCAGATGGCAGAGGTGTCTCCCGTAGCTGAAGCCCATCAGGGATGATGTGAGGGATGAAGAGCAATGTGGGGGAGCTGCAGGGAAGCTCCAGCTTCTGTGTGGCATTGCTGGAGAGTGTCATTAGTGGCTGCCTGTCACCTCCCTGCTGGCCCGGGGGTCCCTGCCCATGTTCCCACTCCTCGGGATGCCTCCAGGACCTCTGTTTGCCGTCACCTCCACCCTTTGATGGCACCTGTGGAAGGTGTGTGGGCACAGGTGTCCTGCGGTCCGGGGTGCTGTGCAGAGCTCAACAGGTCATTTCTCCCACAGGACCTGGAGAAGGAGAGCGACACACCTCTGCAGCAGGTGTCCATTGAGGAGATCCTGGAGGAGCAGCGGGTGGAGCTGCAGGCCAAGCAGGAGTCGGAGAAGCTGAAGGTGCAGGCGCTGAAGGAGCGGGGCCTGTCGGTGCCGCGGGCGGACACGCTGGACGAGTACTAGAGCTGCTGCCCCTTCGGGGCTCCTGATCCGCCTGTGCAGGGACAGAGCTCCTTGGAAAGGCGGCCTTTATTTTCAGATTGTATTTTCTGTACACAAATCATGCCTTTAGTCTCCTTGCAGAGAAGGAGATGAGGTCTGGCACAACGGCTGGGAGCGAGCGTTTGTGTTTGGGAGGCAAATCGCTGCTCTTTGGGTTTGTTTGCTTTTTCCTCCTCATGTGACTCTGGGCGAGAGTTTTCCTTGAAGTGTAAATAAATCCTTGATCCTGGCATCACTGGTTTTCCAGTGTTCTGGTCCTGGTGTTCTGGTCCCCCCTCTCTGAAGACGAGCACCCCTTGTGCCAACTCGTGTCCCTGCCGGGTGCTGTGCAGGGGGAGCAGGCTTGCTCCAAGGAAAAGCAAGATCCTTCCCTCTGGGATAGGGAAAAGAACCTGGGCACCCCCTGTACCCCAACAAAGATTACCAGCACCCCCCAGCCAGGCTGTGCTGCTCCCCTGCAGCTGAGCCCACTAATTACCTGCTGATGAAGAGCTGCCACACCAGGGGCAGCACAGCCCCTCTGCCTCCAACCCCTCCTCACCTCAGTGCTCTGGTGGAGCCGGCGCGGCTGCCTCAGGTTGGAACGTCCTTTGCCCCGAGCGTGTCCCGGTGCTGCCAGAGGTAGGAGAGTCCTTGGCTGTGACGTTGGATTGGGGTTGGCTTTGGGCAGCTGCCAGGCTCCGGGAGCCTCCCGTGTGTGGGCAGGGAAGGGCAAACCTCGTCAGGGACAATCCCTGTGGAAGCTCAGACCACTTTCCTGGGCAGTGGGGAAGTTCTCTGGGGGGAAGAGTCTGTGCTGGGGGGACGGCAGGGGTCTTGTCTTCCGAAGTGGCTGGTTTCTGTGCAGGACAAGCCCAGCTCCTCTTGCTGGGGCTGAGCAGAGCTGTCCTGGAGAGCCAACAGCCAACGTGGCCAGCACAGCTTCCCCCTCGCTGGCCCGGGGCCCACTTGCTTTGGGGGGAAACGCGTCCCCACCCGTTGGGTGGGCTCAAGTGGGTGTTGTGGGTTTGGGGGTGGCAAAGGTGTAAACAAGGAAATGCTAAAAAAAAAAAGCCTTTATGGAGCTGGAGGTGGCTCCTGCAGCTGGAAAATCCCCAGTGGGAGGGGATGGTTTTTTGGGACCTGGATAGGTCGGGACTCCCCCTTCCCAGCGCCCTGGGGTCTCGTTGCTGGAGGGTGGGAAGAAGAGGAGGAGGAGAAAGCCTGCGCTGGTGCCGGTAGTCTCGGGTTCGGTGCCTCCCGCCCGAGGTGGGCGGTGCGAGGAGCTGGTGCGGCCGGACCCCCGACTGGGGTGTCGGGGGGACCCCCGAGGCGCGGGGTCGCTCCCGCTGTCCCTTTACATAATCCCGTGACGCCGGGGGCGGCCCGTGACGTCACGGCGGTGACGCAGCCCCGGAGGCGGCCGGTGGCGGCGGGAGGCGCCCGGACCGCGCCGGGCATGGTGTGCGGGGACCCCCGCGCCATGGAGCTGGAGAACATCGTGGCCAACACCGTCCTGCTCAAGGCACGGGAAGGTACCGGCACCTGGTCCCTGCTCCCCGTTCCCAGGCTGCACCCCGGTGTCCTCCCCGCGACCCCTTCCCAACAGGCACCCCCAGCCCGGGGCACCCCCCCCGAACCCCTCCGCGGGCACCCCGGGACCCCTCGGTCGGGACGGCGGGTGCCGGGTGGGCTCGTCCCGGGTGGCATCGCCGAGCCCCCGGAGGGACCGGCTGCCCCGGAGCTGTGCCCGGTGCGCTGGGACGTGTCTGTCCGTCCGTCACACCCGCCCGCAGACCCGGGGACGGGAGCAGGGAGCGAAAAAAGCGATTTAGTGCCGTTCCCCGAGGGGTGCGTGTGCAGGGGTGGCCGGGAGCCGCTCTGTCCGTGTGTCCGTGCCGGTGGGACGAGCCTGGCACGGACGGGGCTCGCTCCAGCCGAACTTTGCCGGTGCCGGGACGGTTCGGTGCAGGCCGGAGCCAAACGGGCACTGCCAGGACGAACTCAGCCTCGCCGGGAGGTGCCGGCGGTGCCGTCCTGGTGCGAGCCCTGTGGCCGCCGGGGCGAGGAGCTGCGGGCGTCGCGCCCCTCCGGAGCGGGACTTGGCACGGGCTCCCAGGGAGCCTTTGTTTGCTTTTGGTTTCCTTTGGGAAGCCGGCGCCCTCGTCACTGAACCTTCCTGACCGAAAAGCGAGCGGCCCTGGAGCCACCGGCGCTGCCCTGCAGGAGAATTGGGGGCCAGGCGTGTCAGGGTTTGGTCCTGCACATCCCTGTATCCCAAAGGTCTCCTTACCCCCATCCTGTCGCTCCCGGCAGTGCTGGGGGTGCCGCGGGGACAGCCCATGTGCCGGGGCCGGAGCGGTGCCGCTGTTCTCGCCAGGGAGGGAGAGGTTTGGTGTCGGCAGCTTGAAGCAGCCATGGGCGATCCCAGCGATGCTCCTGCTCGGGGCTGCTCCTGTCCCATGGGATGCTTGACGGCTCCTGCATGAGCCAGAGCCTCAACGGAGCTGGTGCTGGAGAAGAATTTGGAGTGAGGGTGGCTCTGCCGCCGTGGGCACCAAATGGGTTAATGTCGGTGTGTGACGGTGTGAGAGGTGATGGAAGCGGGGATGTGGAGTGAGACCAGGGCTGGGACAAGGGCTGGGTCCCGGCTGGGTGGAGATTGGAGCAGTGGGGAGGATTGGAGCCTCCTCAGTGAAAAGCTGAGACCCCATAGCCATGTCTGGGGATCCCCATGCTTGGAGTGACAGGCCGTCATGGAAGGTGCTGGAAGGCACAGGGGGCCCAGTGAGGTCCATCCCAGGAGCATCCCGCCGAGCATCCCTGCGAGGTCGGGTCGGCCTGGCCTGCCATGCCAGGATGGCTCCTGGGGCAGGTGGAAGGTCCTTGCCTGGGCATCATCCCTTTGCCAGGAGCCCGGGGGGCTCCAGCCTGGGCACCGCAGGCCGAGGGGAGCGGCTGCTCCTCTTCCTCAGGCCCCTGTGCCCCCGTGTCAGGGTGAGCAGGGGGCCCAGGGCCCTCTCGCTCCCGAGGCCCCTCCGCTGGCTGGCGCGGGGTGATTCCTGCTGGAGGAAGCCGGCGATGACGGCAGGAAGCTCTGCCCGGCCGGAGTGCCGGCCCCGCTGGAGCCCAGCACCGCGGGCTCGCCTCGGCGTCACCGGGGCTGGCGGTGGGTGGTGCTGGCCGGGCACCAGCTCGGGCCGTGCTGATGTCAGGTCCCTGCAGGGATGACTTCACGCACCAAGTGTCCGCCCAGGAGGGAGTGGTGGCTGGTGGGGGGCCACCCCTCTGCCCCCTCTGTGTCCCTGCAGAGTTCCCATTGCCGAGGATGGGGGAATAAGGAAGCCAGATGTTTACAGGAGGGAGCGACACTGTGCAGGAGGAATCCTGCACATGCCAGGCTCAGCCTCCCCTGGTGCCAAATAATGCCGAGGGGGATCCCCTCCCTGCCCTGGGAGTCAGGACTGGGTGGGGATCCCCTCGACTGTTCAGAATCAGGGTCCCTGAAGGGTCAGAGCCCACTCTGGGGCTGGGGGTCTGTTTTCCCACATGGCTTTAGCAGTGCCCAAAGCCCAGAGCAGTGCTGGCAGCGTGTGGTGTGTGAGCAATGGGTTTTGGGGGCCAGGAGCGGTGGGATCAGGGAACCCCCAAACCAGGTGACTCTGCAGGACTGGGCAGGGGCTCTGCCACCCCATTTCCCTCATCACTGGTGGCCCAGAGCAGCGATGCCCATCCTGCCAACATGACCTTGGCCCTTCATTCCCGGCTGCAGGAGGCGGCAGCAAGAGGAAAGGCCGGAGCAAGAAGTGGAGGGAGATCCTGCGGTTCCCGCACATCAGCCAGTGCGACGAGCTGCGGAAGGGCCTGGGTGAGCCGGGAGGGCACCGGGAGCCGGCAGAACCAGCTCGCAGGTCCTGGCACAGCCGGGGCTGCGGTGTGTGCTGGGCAGCTCCTGTGGCAGCTCCTGCCTTCCCCTGCAGAGCAGGACTACGGCAGCCTGTGCCAGCGGCAGCCCATCGGCCGCCTGCTCTTCCGGCAGTTCTGTGAGACACGGCCGGAGCTCCTGCGCTGCATCCGCTTCCTGGACGCCGTGGTGAGGGACCCTCGGGATGCTCGGGATGCACTGAGGTGTTTGGGGTTGGGCTGAGCCCTGTGGTGGGTCCAGTGTGACCCCAGGACTGTGGCTGAGGATCAGTCCCAGGTGTGCCTGCTGTGGGTGGTGCCCATAGGGCAGGAGCAGGGGGGAATCCCTCGCCCCGTGGCCAGGGCAGACCTACCTCATTCTAAGAGATGGGGAGGCTCAGTGGGGTCACAGGGCAGAGCTGTGCCTGGTGCCCCGTCTGCAGCACCCTCTTCTCCTCGGGCGTCCCAGGAGGAGTACGAACTCTCCCCAGATGAGAAGCGGAAGGAGATGGGTGAAGAGATCATCCAGCGGTTCCTCAGACAGGAGGTGAGTCCTGGGGGGGCTTTTCCCCCTCCAGGAAGTGACCAGGATGAGATGGGATCGCAGGTGGGGTGCAGGAGTGATGTCCCCAGGGCGTGGGTGTGATCCCTCTGCTCCCCTTGGCAGTCCCCGGACTCCCTGCCCGAGGTGGGCCACCCCCACGCCAGTGAGTACCTTCAGGACCTGCAGAAGAGCCCCTGCAAGGACCTGTTCAGCAGCTGCCTGCGGTGAGCACCCTGCCCAGGGCTGGGGGACAAGGGGGCTGCGGTGGCACCAACAGCCCCCTCTCCCCACAGCCCCCTGCACCAGTTCCTGAGCGGGGACCCCTTCGCCGACTACCGGGCCAGCATGTACTTCGACCGGTTCCTGCAGTGGAAGTACCTGGAAAGGTGAGGGCTCTGAGGGGTGTTGGGGGCCCTGGAGGGCGCGGGGCTGACGTGTCCGGCTGGGGCTGTGCGTTCCAGGCAGGCTGTCACCAAGGACACCTTCCGGCAGTACCGGATCCTGGGCAAGGGCGGGTTCGGAGAGGTACGACCACGGAGGAGGGAGGGCTGGGGGGGTGGACGGGCCGGGGGCTCACCCCACCGCTGGCCCCGGCCCCCCAGGTGTGCGCCTGCCAGGTGCGGGCCACGGGCAAGATGTACGCCTGCAAGAAACTGGAGAAGAAGCGGATCAAGAAGCGGAAAGGGGAGGCGATGGCCCTGAACGAGAAGCAGATCCTGGAGAAGGTCAACAGCCGGTTTGTGGTGCGTGTGGGACCCTCCCGAGGGGCTGGGGGGGCCGGGGCTGGTGCTGACGGCCAAGGTGGGCACACAGGTGAGCCTGGCCTATGCCTACGAGACGAAGGACGCTCTGTGCCTGGTGCTGACCATCATGAACGGGGGAGACCTCAAGTTCCACATCTACAACATGGGGAACCCCGGCTTTGAGGACAAGCGCGTGGCCTTCTACGCAGCAGAGATCTGCTGTGGGCTCCAGCACCTGCACCAGGAGGGCATCGTCTACAGGTGAGCTGGGCATGGGGCAGCGGGTGCTGAGCCACCCCTCTGCACGGGGCTGAGCCACCCCTCTGTCCCCACAGGGACCTGAAGCCGGAGAATATCCTGCTGGATGACGATGGTGAGGAGGGAGCTGCTGGGTGTGGCCCTGCCCGTGCTCGTGGTGTGGGGATGGGTCTCTGTGTGATCTGGGGGGTGCCTGGCTGTGCTCTGGGGGAATGTGCTGGGATGTGAGGTGACCCTTCCCTGGGATAATGCCCTCAGCCCCCTCCCTGCCCCAGGCCACATCAGGATCTCTGACCTGGGGCTGGCTGTCAAGATCCCCGAGGGTGAGACCATCCGCGGCCGCGTGGGCACCGTCGGCTACATGGGTGAGCGTGAGGGCTGCACTGGTGGGCTGGACCAGGGTCCTTGTGTGGCACCGTGCCTGGGTACTGACAGCTGGGGGCTGTGCCCCACAGCCCCGGAGGTGATCAGCAACGAGCGCTACACCTTCAGCCCCGACTGGTGGGGCCTGGGCTGCCTGGTGTACGAGATGATCGAGGGGCAGTCGCCCTTCCGCGCCCGCAAGGAGCGGGTGAAGCGGGAGGAGGTGGAGAAGCGGGTGCAGGAGGAGCAGGAGCTCTACTCGGACAAGTTCAGCGAGGACGCTCAGGCCATCTGCAAGTTGGTGAGCTGGGGACCCAGGAATCCCTGCAGGGGCTGGGCCAGGTCCATCCCTGCTGTGACACCCCCGTTCCCCTCCCCAGCTCCTGGCCAAGGACCCCGGGGTGCGACTGGGCTGCGGGGCCGGCGGGGCGGCCGAGGTGAAGCGACATCCCTTCTTCAGGACCATCAACTTCAAGCGGCTGGAGGCCGGAATCATGACCCCCCCCTTCGTGCCGGACGTAAGGACCGGGCAGGGGTGGGCACCCACGGTGTGGGGGGACAGCCTCACTCCCCCCACTGCCCCCCTGACAGCCCCCCGGGCCCTGCAGCCGCGGGCGGTTTATTGCAAGGACGTGCTGGACATCGAGCAGTTCTCCACGGTGAAGGGCGTCAACCTGGACCAAACCGACAGTGATTTCTACGCCAAATTCGCCACGGGCAGCGTCTCCATCCCCTGGCAGAATGAGGTACTGGGGGCGTGGTGCACCAGAGGGGTCCCACCCAGCTGTGGTGCTGCCGGTGCCCAACCCTGCGGTGACCTGACCCCCCCAGATGATCGAGACCGAGTGTTTCAAGGACCTCAACGTGTTTGGGCCCAGCGGGACCCGCTCCCCCGACCTGGACTGGCAGCGGCTGCCCGAGCCCCCCAAGCGCAGCCTCTTGCAGCGGCTCTTCCGGCGACACGTAAGGGACAGGGGCCTGTTTTGGGGGGCTGGGGTGCCCTGGGGTCTCCCCGAGACCACCCTGGCTCACTGCCCACCATCCGTCTGACTGTTCCTTGCAGCCAGCTGACTACACCATTGGCACCTCTGTCCACCCCCCCAGCCCGGCTGCTGTGAACTCGCACCCTCCTGCGGCCAAATCCTCCTGCCAAACCCCGGCACCGGCACCGTCTTGACCCCTCGGGGGGCCCCCAGCCCCCGTGTGCCCTCTCAGGGTTATCCCGGAGCAGCTCTGGGGCCGGGGGCTCCGGGGATGCTCACGGAGGGGAGGGGGATGCTGGCACAGGCTGATGTGGGTGGGCAGGGGGCAATGGGGGCAGAGGGGTGGAAGCTGCCTTGACCCCAACCCTGCCAGCTCCCCATCCCTCCAGCCTGTTCCTGGGGGCTTCCACTGCAGGACCACCTCCCACCAGCTCCCCTCCCCACTGCCAGGAGAGGGGGCCAGGGCACAGACCTGTTTCTGCTGCTTTTGAGCCCATTATCTTATCACCGGGTCAGAGTGTGACCTCTGCGGGCATCGGGGGGGGGGGCTGTGGTTTATCTGCACTCTCCAAATAGCAACATGGGCAGCCTTGGAGTGAGGGGACACCTCGGCCCCCCCGGCCGTGCTGCAGCAGGAGGGACGGGGTCACCCCGACAGAGCCTCCCCCCAGAGAAGCAAGACCTCCCCTGCTCCAGCCACTGCGGTGGGAAGCGGGCTGGGAGAGGGGAATTTTCTCGAAGGTGGCTGGGCAAGGGGGGGGTGAGGGGCTCCCCCCATCCTCACGAGGCAGCTCCGGGCAGCCTCGGGGTTCCTGGGCCCCCCGTCCCTTCGGACCCTGGTGAATCTCCAGCACCTTTGGTCGGCGTTGATCCGGTTTTGTATATTTTGTACATTTGTGAATATTTGTACCTCGAGCCCTGTTGTACATTTTTTAAGCGAAAAGCTGCAAACGGAGCTGCGTGGTGACTTTGTGGGGGGACTTGAGGGCCGTTCCAGGGGGGCTGTGGGGGCTTTCTCAGATGTTTTACCTCCCCCAGCATGTTCTCCCCCCTCCTTGCCCTGTGGGATGTGGGTGGGGGTGCTGGGTGCCCATCCCGGGGCGGGACTGTGCTGGTTTCCCAGGCATCCCCTTGCTGGCACGAGGGACATGGCCACGTGCTGCCCGTGCCCCCAGCCCTGTCCCCAGAAGAGCAGGGCTCAGCCGAGGGGCCAGCTGGGTCCAGGCAGGTCCGAGCTGTGGCCAGAGCCTTGTCCTGCACTGCTGCTGGAGCTCGGTGGGCTCAGCTGGCCAGGCCAGCTGTGTTCTGATGGAGAGGCGCCTTCCCGGTGCCCAAGGTAGGTGCTGGGACCCCAATCCCATCCCTGGTGCCTGTGGCATTGCTGCTGCTCCTCCTGGCTACTCTCGGTGCCCCCCCCACTGCTGTTCTTTTCCCTCGCAGGCTCAGTGCATGCATCAACTTGGGGACCTCAAGGGACATCCAAGATGCTGAGGCCACATCAGGAGCTGGTGAGGGTCCTGGGTGTGTCTCAGAGCACCAGACCCCCCTGAGGGTTCTGGAATCCCCTTGTGGCACCCTGGGGATGGGTCACCTGGAGCATTTCCCTCGTGTGCTGTGGCACAGTGTGACTTGTCCTCATGTCCCCTCCCCAGGGGCACAGAGGAGCTCGTGCCCCTCCAGCCCCCCCAGCTCAGAGCCAGAGGGGTGGCTCTGCCCGGGCTGTTTTGGTTCTTCTCACAAACAACTGCGTGTCCTTGTGCCAAGGCCTCGTGCCGGGAGCCGCTGCTCCATCTGGGATAACAACAGTCCTGGGTGGTTCACAGCTGGGGGGTCTCTGGTCCCCCTCACTGTCAGGGCAGGGGGGCTGTGGGTAATGCACAGTATGGGGGGGTCTCTGGTCTCCCTTAGCACCCAGACCCGTGGGTGCTCCGTGTGCCTTTGGCCAGAGCTCTGGGCTGGGAGCTCCCGGGAGCAGCTCAGGGATTTCAAACCCTCTGGAATTTCCCCTCACTCCACATGCAGGCAGGTGGGTGAAGCCCGGAGAGGGGAGAGCTGTGGCACAACCTGGGAGTCACAGCTGTGGGACCGTGGCTGCAGCGAGGATTTCCCAGCAAACATTTGGGAAGGGGACGGTGCAGCCTCCGGCTTCCTCCTGGTCCCTCCAGCACCTTCGTCCGGTCGCGCATCGCTGACGTGAACGTGAGGTGCTTTCTGCACATGACAGAGGATGGCAGCCCTGGCGATGGAGAGGAGCATCCTGAGGAGCAGCAGGAACATTCTGGATGGCAGGTGGGACCCGAATCATCTCGAGGGGGCTGGGGACAAGCAGGGGGAGGCGAGGGGCTCCCCGGGGCTGGTGCAGCAATGGGGTGACCTCCCCCTGGGCCAAGTTGTTGCAACAGCGGGGAGGAAGGTCAGGCTCCCCGCAGGAGGGTGCAGGGGTTGACGTCAAAGGAAGCAGCTGTTATTCACGGGTTCCTGGGAGCGCTGGTCTCCGGGCCATAACTCATCCCAGAAATGTCATTTCAGCCTTGAGCGTTATCGCTGCTCTGCCGTTGCCCACCACTCCCAACCCTGGGACAGATAACCAGGCTCGGGGGTAGGGGGGCTGCACGAGGCTGCCCCTTTCTCCCAGCCCAGGCTCAACAGCTCAACGTGTTTAATATTCAGCTCTGTATGGGCTGTCCTGGTTCTTGTGTGCAGCGTTTGCTGAGGTTGGGCTGAGCCTGGCTGGGTTATTCCAGGATGGCTCTGTCCCGACACGGTGTTGTCCATTGTTGTTATTATCCATTATCCATCCACGACAATCATCCTCGATGGCCTTGTAGGTCTTTTCCAACCTTACTGGTTCTGTGGTTCTGTGTTTGCCCACCGACACCTGTCAGAATTGATTATCACCTGTCCTTACCCGCAGCTGATGGCCCGTGTGCCGCAGGGTCTGTCCCTGGCACGGCAGGAGCTGGGCAGGGGGGCTCTGCCTCTCTGCTGTCCCTCAGGGGTGCTGTGCCCCCGTGGCTGTGCCGTGGACGGGGCTGGCCGTGCCCCCCTGTGCCGGCTCCGTGTCCCAGCACGGCGCTGACCCCTCAGCTGCGTGAGGAGCCCGGCGTGGCCTTGGCCCACGGGGCCCTGCCGTGAGTGACGGCTCTTATCTGGCGGCTGACGGGGCAGAATCCTTCAGCCCACGTACTTAAGGCCGCGGCGGCGGGGCCGGGACAGAGCCACGCTCGCCGCAGACACCGAGCACAGACACCAAGCACAGACACCAAGCACAGCCACCACCACAGCCCAGGAGATGCTCCCAGCCACGTCCAAGCTCTGCGCCGCCATCTCCTACCGGCACCTGCGCAACATGACCGGTGAGGGGCTGCCTGGGGCGGGAGGGGCAGTGGGGTCCTGTCCCCGCTGTCACACTGGAGTTCGTGGGAGAAGTTCCCGCTGAGTTGCGGGTGCAGAAAGGACACATACCCCCCCTTTGCTTTCTAAACTCCTTCTCGGGCAGGAGGACGAGCTCAGGGGTGCTCTCCTTACCCCACCCTATGCCGTGTTGCTTTCTGGGTTTTGTGATTTACTGTCCCTGCCACCCTTTTTGCCATCTCTGGGGTCCGAGGGGACAACCCGTGCCCCTGTGGCCAGCTCTGGGTCACGCTCCCACTGGCAGTGAGGATTTTCTATCCTTGTGCTCCATTTCTATGCTCTTTCCTGGGCCACACGATGTTCCTCAGTATTTTTACTGCTGCGTGGCTTGGACCTGGAGCCAAGCCTGGGATTGCTTAGGACAGGCTGTCCCAGGGCAGCGTGATGGCTGCTCCCTGTGCCTGTAGGGACTCAGTAAAGGTGACAAGCAGAGGCTTTTCCATGTTGTATGATCAAACTGGGGGAAAAAGCCCCTGGAAAGGCCCCTGATGCACTCTCCCCCTCAGGTCTGAGGAGACAAGCTGCCGTGGCCATCAGCCAGGAGCTGAGCAGGCTCGCCTGCCGCAGCCCAGGACCCAGCTCCTGGATCCACCAGGTGCGCAGGAGGAGCTCCTTGCTCAGTAAGTGACACCTCAGGGGGGTCTGTCCCTTCCTGCCGGGGGGAGGCTGTCAGAGATTGGGGATCCAGGGAGTGGCTGGGGGAAAACCTGCTTGTGGGTGGGCTGTGCTTCTGCTGAACCAGCAGCAGAGTGGGAATTGGGTTTAATTTCCCGGTCCCTGGGCATGGAAAGGGTATTTGGGGTAGATAAAGCTTATCTGGCACGTTACACTGTTCTTGCACTCACTCCTGCCTTTGTCTGGTCCCGGCAGGCTCGAGGCTGGAGGAGAAGCCCTTCAGTGAGATGGAAATGTCTTACATCAAACAAGGAGAGGAAGCCCTGCAGAAATCCCTCAGAATCCTGGAGGACCAGGACGGCTGGAAGACGGAGACGGTGGCGGTGGGTGCTCTGCCGTGTGGCACTGACACTCCTCCTGCCAACAGCTGTGGTGTTAATCCTGCTGTCCCCCCTCCAGGGAAACGGAGACAAAGTGCTGAGCAAGGTGCTGCCGGATGTGGGGAAGGTGTTCCGGCTGGAGGTGGTGGTGGACCAGCCCCTGGACTCAGTGTACGGAGAGCTGGTGGACAACATGGAGCAGATGGGAGACTGGAACCCCAACGTCAAAGAAGTCAAGGTAGGAAACGTGTGTCACAGCCGGGGTTCACATGGGTCCTGCTCCATGTGGCGTTGGAAGGGCCCATCACAGCAGGAGCACAGGGAATTCTCTGCTGTTCTCTGTGACTGTATCTTGTCCTTTGCCTGCTGCAGATGTGGAAGGTTTTTGTGCAGTAACTGTATTGCTGCTGCAGCAAAGGTGAGCCTGGAGCAGCTTCTCTGTGACTAATTCTGCAGGAAATGCACTTTCCTGCAAGGAGCAGCCAGTTCTGCCGTAACTCTGGGCTGATCCGGAGGAGAAGCAGCCCTGAGGCACAAGGAAGAGTTTGGCTATCCCACAGCTCCTCTGGAATCAGAGAAGCAGTAAGAGAAACACCTTTCCTTTCAGGAACTGAAAACTCATGTTCTGCACCTGGGGTGGAGCAGATATTTGCAATTTTTCTCCCTGTAAACAGCAATTTTTTGAGCACCTGGTAACCAAAGGCAACTTTTTAGCTCAGCTGGCACTTAAAACACTTCAAACTGAGGTTTCAGTTCCAAACTGCAGATCCTGGAGAAGATTGGGAAGGACACGGTGATCACCCACGAGAAGGC